TAAAGGCCAAAAAATATTATTTATTAATATTTAAATATTCATGATGTAATAAAAAAGATTTGTCAACACCCTGTACATTACTTTTCAGAATTAATTCTTGTGCTGACTTTTAATTTGATTGCTTCCTTAAATGTATTCAGGGGTATCAAACATTGCTAATCTATTTTAAATACTTTTTTTTGTGCGGGGAAAAAATCTGCAAACCAGCGACCTGCAAACCTACCGACTAAAAAAACCTCCACAAGCTGCTTTGAATATCTCCCCTAGGAACTACCTTTCGGCATTACTTCTCAAGGAGGCGGTTTTACTGCGATGTTTTAGTTACTTCGTCTAGCTTCTTTCTCTTTTATATCTATTAGTGTCTCCATAAAAGTGTGAACACTATTCCAATTTTCTGGAGATCGAATCATCTCTGGAACTAGATCGGAAATCTTAATTTTATGGACTCTTAGTTTTTTGTACAGAACTCTTCGTTCAGCTGTCCATCGCCGCGGTTACATTCCAAGAGGGTATGCTCCACCGTATCAGCATCGGAGTCGCCATAGAGACATCTCGGGCTATCAACTAACTTTATTTTATGCAGGTAATACCTGAAATAACCGAGGCCAGAAAGAAATTGACTCATGGCATAGCTCAGTTCTCCATATTCTCTATTTGTCTAACACTCTAGGTCCTTTATAAGTGTTCTAGTCCATTTACCTTTCCCATTTCTGTTTTCACTCCATCTTTTACACCATATTTCCAAAACTCTATTTCAACTTGCTTCCGCTGTTCTTCCTGAATGTGCTTGCCTTTCCATTCTTTCTTCAATTACTATGTCGATTGGGGCAATTGAGCTCAAAATTTTTCTGCAGCCCCCGCAGATATTGTCCTGTATCCACGACATACTCTTATGGCCAATCATCGTTGTACTGCGTTCTTTTAGCTCCTTGTCTATACCTTCTCTCCAGCTCTTACGTGGTCTACCCTGGTCATTTTTCGTCGTCTCGTTGCGCTGGTGTCCAGTTGTGGATCTGTTTTGGGAGCCTTTCCTCTGACATTCTTAGTACGTGACCATACTATATTAGTTGTTTCGTTCTTATGTCATCAGCTATTGTTCGATTGACCCTTATCACTTTTCGTTATTCTGTTGTTCGTATACTTTATTTATTTTATTTTATTTAGATTTAGAGATGTTACTATCCCACAAGACGTTATTTAACATAGAGATTGCCTTTCTTCCATGAGCGTTTCTCTCTCTAATGCATGGCTTTATCAAGAGTGCTATCCCTTGAAATTTTGGCTCCCAAGAATTTATAATTTATGCAGCCATTAACATTTTGACCGTTTTCAAGGGGGAGGTTTTCTTGGAATAAATAGTAATAAATAAGAGAGACTAACAAATGTAAATTATTGTCAAATTTTAGAAATTCTGTGAACTTAATGATGCCTGTAAAAAAATTAATACCAAAGCAAGGAAACAAAAGGAAAACTACGACAATAAATTAAAAGATTTCAACGAAGAGAAAAGCAAAATGGCAGAAAAAATGTCGGAGTTATCTACAAAAGTGGACGAAGTGGATACACAGAAAAACATTATCAAGGAGCTGGAGTACGAATGTAAAAATCTGAGAGAAAAAATTAAATCGCTGGAAAATATGTCAGACAGGTTATAACATAATATGAAATTATAAATAAATCAGATATTAATAGAACAATAAAAATGCAGATGCGAATCTTTGGAACAAGAATGTAAGAAGCATTACGAATCGCTATTAGATTCTCAAGTCAGTTTCCACAAAGAAAGAGACGAAATGAACAAATTAATCGACCAACTTACAACAGTGGTGAAAGATAATAAAACGACTCTTCAGCACATGTCTGAAATCAATAAACAACAAGAAGATTTGATTAAATCCCAGAGCATGGCTCTATTGACTAAGGTACTCGACTTTTTTTAAAGAGATAATTTACCCAAATCGATTTATAAATCGGTCTGAATTTTAGGAGCAACAACTAAAACTGATTGAGAAGCAATCAGAGCAATTTGAAATCAAAAAACAAGGAATTGGAAAGAGAATTGGAAGATTTGAGAGAAGAATTTCTCAGCACCGTGCAGTAAAGAAGCATGTATATGCATATCGAAAGAATTAGAGAAAGTTAAGTAAGTTATAAATTTATATCTACTTAATACTTCGATTTAAGTTCAAACTTCTATTCTACAGGGTGTTTCTAAAAACATGTGCCATCTCTCGTGGGGAAATTCCTCACCTAAAAATAAGATTTATTTTTCGTATCCACATAGGTTCGATTCTGCCTTGTTTCGTAGAAAAGAAGTAATGTAAAAGGGGTTAAATTTTTTTTCCGATTTATTATAATTTTCTTCCAAGTGATTTTAGTGATCCGAATGAAATTTTGAAGGTAATAAGTCCTACAAACCAAAAAAACGTCCTACAACAAAAAAAATGGTTGGTCAGCGATGGATGTGAAATGAAGATCGCTGTCATTTTATATGTAAAATAATATGGGGAATGTCATCGATCGTCATTTCCCAGCCAACTGGACTCCGTTTTTTCAATCCTAGGGTATTTTAATGCTAAAAAGGTATGGACAGATTCATCAGGAATGTGCATATGGGTTATCACCATATACAAACTAAAATATATAGAAAACTGAAATGATACCGTCTGTTCTGTTGAGAATTCAGTGGCGCCATGCATCGGGTCGTTACACAACTTATGATACAATTTTATTTTATTTTACAGGAAACTTTACATTTTAACTACAGGTAACTATATTGTTGCGTCCACTCTAGCGCCATCTATTATCAATTCTTGGAACGTAATTTATTTTTTTTGTACAGAAAATAGATGATTTTTCTTCTATTTCCTATTTTTTAATAAGAATAAGTTACTCTAAATACGACATCGCTCCATTATATCGTATTGTTCTTAAACAGGTGACGTTTCATTTAGAATTAACTTATCCTCATCAAAAAATATGAAATAGATAGAAAAAACAGCCATAGTTAATAAAATAAAAATAATTAACTGTGTGTGTGTGTGTGTGTGTGTGTGTGGATATGTTGAATAATTATTATTAGTAATAACTTTATTAAAAAAAGTAAATAATACAAATTATACAATAAATAAAATTTCTTCTTCAGACGAAGGCTCGCACGGCACTGCTATACTTAACTTGTTCATATAAATACAATAATAATTATTATAAATCAATACAATAGTATTAAATAATATAAAATACAACTAACAAAGTTTTGTCGCGAACTTATTCGAAGCGCGGCAAAAAAATGTGAATTGGTATCTATGGTATCTATGTATAAAAATGCAGACCCACGGATTAAAGCGAAGTAACGCGAAGAATCAAAATACATGCAATTAATCCAATGACATTTTGGCGCTTCGCAAAGTTTAAAGCATGATGAGCACTTGAGGCGAAGCCCGCCGAAGCCGAAGTCATGCGAAGCACTGTTTTTCGCACGCGATGGATAATTAAAGTTGTTTTAACCTGACCTTTTTAATTTTAGTATTATGCGTAGAGAAATATTATCTATGTGACGATTTGATAAAAATATTGGATTTATAACGTTAATATAAAAAAGCCTTTTATCTGCATTTTTCCTCAATTTCCACCCAGGTGTTGTCTCGTCTCAATTCATTATGATAATTTGGATTCTCAACATAACTCTTTGTAGCTCTGTATAATCATAATGAATGTTTCATCATCCTTGATCTCAGTAATTAAACTGAATTCACAGGTTGGACGATTCCTTTGCTATGCTTGAGATCTGAAACAAATAAATATGTATAATTATGTGACACATCAAAAAAACGTCGAGTATGGTTTATAGGAGGAAAAAATTAAAAGTTGATGCCGTTGAAGGGCTCTAAAATCTCAACAGAAATTGGCTATGAACTTTTTATCTTAGTCTTTAAGTTAACACAAGCATTATTTTTCATAAGAAATAATTATGGTGTTTATATGCCTTTTAAAAAATAAGCAGGATTCAAAAACAATTGCTAATAAAGCAAATTAACATTTTTGAGTAGTATGCTCTACTTATTATATTTTTTAATTCTTACCTAACTTGGTTGTAAACAACTGCCTGGGTTAAATTCTTAAAAGAGGTCTTACAAGAGACAGATCTTATACCTCACTCACAAAAACTGCATCATCTGCACTCTGGAAGATTCCTGATTTGGATTATCTGATCCTTTCTCTAAAATGATAGATACAATTTAAAAAATTTAAAACGATAATTTTAATAAACCAAATTCAGTTTGGATTCGTAATACATATTAACATTTTTAATAAACTTTGGAATATCTAATAATTGAATCACTCTCTGCCAAATTAAAGTAGCCAGTGCTATATCTTGTTTATTTACAGCTCAATTAAAATATTTTTTGTTATAAAGTTGATATGATATTTTTTTTTAAATAATGTTCATCTTCATTACTGAATATTTTGCGACATTAATTTGGCTTACGGTATAGGTACCTACCCTTTTCAGTTACTGCTTTTATCTCAGGTAACAGTACATGTCTAATACCAACGAGAGAGTGGTCCACCAACAAGTTCTACAACAAATGTTTGTCTTTAAATATAGGGTTTGTACCTGGATCGACATCACCGGACACCAAATTACCAGTAGGTTGATCATCTAAAAGATTATTTTAATTTTATTAGATCAAAATATCTGAAAACGTTCTTTATTTATCTAAATGCATATACTTAACCATATGAACTGGTGTATATAAAAACTTTAGAATTAACTTCTAAACCTCTTTTTATTCCAGGTACGATCTTGATTACAAAAATGTAAATCACAAACTCTATAAATCTTTTAAATATCTTGCTGTGTTGTATTTTCCATTTTAAGGTTTCGCACTTGATATCACTTTTGAAATAATGTAGGATCGTTCTTCGAGAATGTATGTCTTTTGGAAAACAAATCCGGCATCGGAACAACATACTTATGAAAGGGTTTACGGCCTGATTCCATCATTGTTTTTAATAAAATGTTTAAATCAAAGTTTAAATAATCACTAAAATTCCAGTAAAACTTTTTTCGATTTTTGACGGTACATATTTGATTAGAACTGACTTGATTTGATTTGAACTCCCTAAATATTTTCGCCTTAAGCGCGACCGGTGGTTCGTCACAGAACTAATAAATTTGTGTATAACTGGTTGCGGTAAAAAAGTCCTTTCAAAGATCTCAATTTCAGTTTCCCATATATTTTAGTTTGTATATGGTTATCACTGGAATACTTTTCAAAAAAAACATGTGAAAATAAAAAATAAATGTGAAAGTTGTATCTTGATAAAAATAAAATTAGTAAATTATTTATTTTGTCTAATTTATTATTAAATACTATTACTATTAGTCCAACCCACAGCAAATTAAAATAAAAAATAATGGTATCTAAGATAATTACAAAAGACCTAATTTTAAAGTTTTAACAGCCTGTAACTTAAAACTCTGCAAATTAATAAAATTGCGTTTATCTCATCAAGGAGGCCGAAATCGACAAAATATAAAGAGACTTTTAATCAGCATTAAACGGCTTATACTATTTCGCTAACAAAAGGATAAAAAGTTAGTGGCATACATATTTTTTTAGAAAAATATTCCAGTGATAACCTACATGCACGTACCTGGTAAACATGTCGACACTTTTTTAGTATAAAAATATGTCTCACTGATAATAACTTTTACCCTCAAAATTTCAACGAATCGCTAAAAGTACTTGACAGAAAATTATAATAAATCGAAAAAATATTAAGATTATAACCGTCTGTAGCTACAAAATAAAGCAGAATCGAACCTATGTTGATATGAAAAATAAATCTTATTTTTACGTGAGAAGTCTTCCCAGGAAAGGGGGCGCATGTTTTTTTAAACAACCTGTATACGAATTTGTGTAGGAAAATAATATATGTTGAAAATAAGTAACTTTAAAATTAATTATAAATTTTCTAATTGATCAGTAAAATAAAAGTATAGTGTGTCCATCGAGAGATATAACAGTGACATTGTCTGACCTTTCAATTCAAAAGCAAATATTTTCTGTTTGAATTTTTGGAATGCCGTTTGTCGAAATTGTCCTTTCTCTCGCTGGACAAACTTTATTTTAGGTAGTTTACTTACAGAATAAAAATTGTAATATTTAAGTTACCTATTCATATGAGCCAAAATATTTATTTATTTATATGAAAATACGGAATTGATATCATATCCAGCGTTCGGAAGTAGTTAATTAAGACGTAATTTACCTGATTAACTACGTGTAGTTTTTCTTCAAAAACTACGTCTCTTCCCGTTCATTAACTACATGAAAACTACGTTAATAAACTATGTATTGATATTATGAATAATTTTCCTTTGTATGAGGCGTAATAGAGATAATATGATATAAATATTATATTTAAAGCCATATTTCTTCTGTTTTCTTAAATACATTATGTGTTTTTAATGCTTCAACTTATTATAACCTCACCTCAAACCTTTGATATTTGAAAGTTACATACATAGGTTACATAAACTACACTCTCTACATAAACTACATTAACTACATGTAATGTTGTTTATGTAGTTTTTAAAAGTAACATATGTAGTTTTCCGAACCATATCATTTTTTTTCACAATAAGGGGCCGTCCTCTGCCGGAAGCACTGCGACCTGAGGCCTATTGTGTTTGTCCCCTTTCTATATCTGCACCCATTCTCCTATCCCTGTGCCCTGCACTAACTTATGCAGGTCCTTGATAGGATGGGAGCATAGTTCTTCCGGTTCTAGCCTAGCTTTCCCAAATAAAAAGTGTCGCTTGCGATCCAGAGCCTCGCAGTGACATATTATGTGCTCCGCTGTTTCAGGATCTTTATCACAGAGTCTGCAGCAAAGACTTCCTTGATACAGATTGAGCTTGTTCAGGTAACACTTGACAGCCATATGTCCTGTCAAGAGGCCTGTTGTAATCCGCAATTTATTCCTGTTAAGCATTAGCAGTTCTTTTGCGGTTTTAGAGCTAGGTCCTTGGATAAAAAGCCTTGCTGTGCCTGTACCCCTGTCTGTTTCTCCAGTGGACATTCTGCTTTTCCCTGATCCAGAGTTTTTAGTGCACTACAGGGCCATACATTTGGGTATTCCCAGTACTGGCTCTGGACCAAGATAAGATGCCGATGATCCTTGCCTAGCTAGCTCATCGGCTTTTTCGTTACCTTGGATGCCGCTGTGGCCCGGCACATATTTTATAGGCCCAGAATAATTTAATTCTGTGCCCTCGAGCCAGAGCTTCCAGTTCACCTAGGCATTCCCAGACGAGTCTCGACGATACCTTTGGGTTCATAAGCGCCCCAAGTGTCGCCTGACTGTCTGAGCATATATTGATGAGCCCCGATAATATCATTTGATTTAATTTTTGTAAAGCAAAACGCCCTGAATGCACATTAATACATATGTTAATATAGTAGCAGAGCTGCATCATAGCAACAGATAAATAGAAACTAACGTTTGACATTATAGTCTAAGAGCTAGCAACATTTTCGAGAAACTATTTTAAGAAAGCTGGCTCCTTGATATTAGAGCTAGGTAGATATATCTTTTACTATGTTCTCTGGAACAGCATGCGGCCCATCTGGCTGCCGATACCCGTTGCGTTCACTACTGCGCATCGGAAGAAGATATTTTTTTTATTTAGTCCGTTAAATTCTAGTATTGAATATAATTCGAGCAAGTCTCCATAGCGTAGAGTTTCCGACTACGAACCGAGGATTCGAGACCGGGTCAGGGCAAAAACTTTTTTATTTTATTTTCGTTTATATTTTGATAGTAAAGTATTAAATATTTTTTTTTTTTTGAAACACCAGAATTATTTAATACTTTACTATCAGAATATAAACAAAAATAAAATAAAAAACTTGTTTGACCCGGTCTCGAACTCTAACTCCTCGCTTGATAGGCGGAACCTCTCTAAGCACTGAGCTATGGAGACTCGCTCGGTTTATGTTCAATACTAGAATTTAAAGGACTAATAAAAATATAAGATCTTCTTTCAATGCGCAGTAGGGAACGCAACATTTACCGGCAGCCAAACGGGCCGCATGCTGTTCCAGAGAGCATAGTAAACGATATATTAAAGAGCCAGCTGTCTTAAAATACTTGTTTTTCCGACGTTGCTAGCTCTCGTACTATTATTCTCATATCAACTAATAAAATATAGGACTTATTAGGTATTTGCGATCGTAGTTAAATTAGAGTACGTAATTGATATAGTACATTAAAACCAGCATATTATGCACCAACAGAATACTCCGAATACTGCGCAAATACGGCCCAATTGCGCAACTTTGCAATTTGTTCGTAATATACTTTATACAGCACTCAGTATGTTTGATAACCACAGATAACATACTGTTACGTATTTCGTCGGTTCCGTGTGGATAGAAAGTCACAATTTATTTAAACACTATTTATTTAACACTAATTAACAAAAACAATAACGATAAAAGACTTATAGAACTATTTACAAACGATTTATAACTAAAAATTTATTTTTGAATTTTAGCGCGTCAACTGCACTGGTATATTTATAACTGCTGCCCTCTCTAGGCCACAGCCGCCGGCTTTTATACCTACAGTTAAAGTTTACTAGAATAGTCCATAGATCGTTAGGTGCATAGAGAAGGTTTTCGAATGTTCTCGTATGTACTACTCCATTCCAGTGGGACTCGATCCTTCTCGAATCTTCGAATGAAGCATTGCGGTGTCTATGCGATGTTAAGGTCATCCGAGGGCGGGCCATATTGTTAGGTTAGTTCGAGTCCACACCGGTCCGCAACACTGCCCCCTTCTTAGGTACATGCTCGTCCCGAGATGTACACGGTAAATGAAGGTATTTGCAAAGCTGGCCCCTGGTACATTGAGAAGTCTGGTAGAAATAGCAGTCTACAGTTTTCTCTCCCGATCTCAGCTTTGGGTTGTAGCAGCAAACGAGGATCTCGATTCCCGTAAATCTGAACAAGACTTCAATCGTGTTTCGGATTGTACGCCAACTCAAACCATCGAGTCCACAAGCCAGCTTCGGAATGGCTAATCGTGTAATGTTGTTGTTTAGCAGGGCTTCTCTCAGTTCAATCAGGGTCTTCCATAGATTGAGATAAGTCGGCTTACTTGGGGACCATTCCTTGGTGACTAGATAGAAAATGTGCCTTGCTTGACCATGTTCATTGTCGGTTAACCTCAAGACGCTTCCAACCTCTGGATCCTGTCGGCGTAGTTCTCAGACACGCCCAAACTTCTCAGCGATTCCTCTGGACATCCGCAAAATCTCGGGCCACACAATGAGCGAGCGAATAATCAGGAGGCACGGAAAGAGGTCTCGTTGATCTTCTTTGGTTACACCATAGCGAGCCTTCTCACTGCTGTTGTATCGGGCCATGAAATCGTCAAAGGATATCTCCGAATCAGGGGGGATCAAAGCTGCAGGTTCTCACGGTCCCAGCACGATCTTCTATTTCGCCTTGGTAGGGGCTCAAACGGTTGAAATGAACTATCCTCGGTTTCCTTTTGGCAATTTTTTTTTGATACGGTATACGACGTCATTAATCCTATCCATGACTTCGTATGGGCCTTCACACGAGGATTGTAGCTTCGGAGATAATCCACGACGTCTCTGCGGGTTGTACAGCCACACCAAATTCCCTGGTTGGTACCCTCCATGTTCAGCTTGAATGTCGTAGTGCTCCTTCATTCGGTCACTAGCGCTTTGAATATTTAGGCGGACTCGCTGATGAATGTCGTCCATCCGTTGGCGTAATCTTTGGACATAATCTTCTCCGTCGACATCTTCTCCCGGTCGGCAACCAAACTTCAGGTCACAAGGTAGGCGCACTTCCCGTCCCATAACGATGCTGCGACGTTCAATGAGAAGTTTGGGCGTGTCGGAGAACTACGCCGACAGGATCCAGAGGTTGGAAGCGTCTTGAGGCTAACCGACAATGCACATGGTCAAGCAAGACACATCTTCTACCTGGTCACCAAGGAATGGTCCCCGAGTAAGCCGACTTATCTCAATCTATGGAAGACCCTGATTGAATTGAGAGAAGCCCTGCTAAACAACAACGTTGCACGATTAGCCATTCCGAAGCTGGCATGTGGACTCGATGGTTTGAGTTGGCGTACAATCCGGAACATGATTGAAGTCTTGTTCAGATTTACGGGAATCGAGATACTTGTTTGCTGCTACAACCCAAAGCTGAGATCTGGAGAGAAAACTGTAGACTGCTATTTCTACCAGACCTCGCAATGTACCAGGGGCCAGCTTTGCAAATACCTTCATTCGCCGTGTACATCTCGGGACGAGCATGTACCTAAGAAGGGGGCAGTGTTGCGGACCCGTACCGTGTGAACTCGGCCTTAGACTTCAGGCGCCTGCTATGACTCATACGCCCATCGACGTTCGAAGAACGAATAAGAATTTACTAGACAAGTCTGGACTGTCTGTTTCTCTCGTATATAAGCCGATGACCGAAACCTGAAGGGGAGAGAGATAAATAACCGATCGACGCGTACAGTTACAATCGCGGCGCTAATTCAAAATAAATTTCTGGTAGATAAATAATTAGATAAATTGTAAATAAGTTATAAATAGTTCTTTGAGTTTTTAATTGTTATTGTTTTTGTTAATTACTGTTAAATAAATAGTGTTTAAATAAATTGTGACTTTCTATCCACACGGAACCGACGAAAAACGTAACAATACTATGTTATATGTGAATGTACCTCTACTATTACAACACTCACTATGCATATAATTAAACCTCTTTAATTCGGACAATTCATTGCAAGAAGTGTGACGGAATTAGGGAAACGTCTAGTGTCCCATTTTGGATACATAAGAAGACTTCTACACTACGCAAATATCATTATCCTCTGCTTATTCCACCATTCCCAATTATGGTGTAGTCACACTCACATATTCAAATAATATCTTTGTAATTGAGCCCATTGTTGTCTATTGTTGGCTATGCAGGCCCAAGTTATCCCTGCTAATTTAGTAATAACATGGTCCCATCTTCTCCTAGGTCTCTTTATTCCTCTTGGGACGATGCTTTAATTTTTGTGGTCCATTTGTTGTCCGTCCTTCTTGCCAGGTGTCCTGCCCACTGCCACTTGAGGGATTTGATTCTGTGGATGACATTCATTACTTGAGTCTTTTGTCGGATCCACTCTATTTTTTACGGTCTTTTTTGATAATTCCTAGCATATTTCGTTTTATCGAGCGTTGTCCTACCTGCATTTCCTTATAGTGTCCAGGTTTCGCATGCATAGGTGAAGTCACTGGCAGTACACATTGGTCAAATGTTTTGCTCTTTAGATAAAGTAACATTCTATGATTGAGTTTCTTCCATATTATGTACTCCATGCTAACTTAAACTTCTGTTGATTTCTTGTAGTAGAGATGCTGAGCTGTGCTTTAGTTGTCCCAAATATTCTTCTGCTATTTCCAGTGTTTTGTTATTTATTCGACTTTTCTATTTACTAGTTCGTTGTATACAACTTTAGTTTTTGCTTAATTCATCTTGAGATCTACTTTACTATTGAATGTATTTACTTCGTTAATTTGTGCTTGTAGTTCGTCAGGAGTATTGGCAATTAGGACTATGTCATCAGCGAATCTTAGATGGTTAAGATATTCTCCATTTATTTTCAATCCTCTGGTGGTCTAGTCTCACTCAACTATGCTACACTGTAAATATTAGTGGATGATCGGATTAGCATGTATTTCTAGTAAAGAGTATGCAGTGAATATCATTTTGTTAGTGTTATAACAGGCATTATGTTCAAAACTACTAAAACTAGTACTAAATTATACTGGAATAATTGTTTTATTTTTTTATCTAATTTTTTAGTTTGTCTTTTAGGAGTGTGTTGAATGCTGAAAAAGACACGAAACTTCTAAAGGAAAAGATAATAAACGACCAATCGCAGACTATTATAAATTTGCAGAAGCAAGTGAGAGAAAAAATAACGGAATTGAACAAGGCTCATGGTGACATGAAATACCTCGAAGATGAGATTAACTCTATCAATGCGAAATTAATTAACAAACATAAGGAGTTGGATATCGAAATCGATGAGAAGGAAAGTCTTATCGAGAAGTTACGAGTAAGTCATACGAGTATTATCACAGATTAGGTATACTATATGTATACAGTTAAAAATCTTGTCCCTAATTCGCGGTACGAAAATTGTTTTTTATGACGATATGAGCAAACAAGTAAAATTTCCTGTGCGCAAAAATAAACTCGCGTTTAAACAGCGTAATAACTGGGCCGGTCAGGCGCTGTGCACAATTTTAGAAACCATAAGTGGGCGTGCTATGTGCGCAAACTAGTGACATAAGTCACTGCCGTTCTTTAAAAGATCAGCCTGGGGGCGGACTTTTGTTTACTTCATCAGCTGTACATACTTAGATATTGGGTTAGATTCCGTTTCATATTTTGTCGGTTGATTTTTGGTATTATTTATTATTGTAGTGCCAAAAACTAATTATTTTGCTGTTAAGTGACATAAACTACTACCAGATATATGGTCACTCTCGGTTTCGCATAAAAAAAATAGAAAAATTGAAAAATTACACGTTGTGTAAGTGATTTAACCTAAAAGTGCCCATACATTTTTTACTCATCGTGATTTTTGTGTGTGTTTTTTAAGACTCTAACAATTCATCAATAAAGCTTAAGTGGAGTGTGTTTTTGTGCTATGCCTCATCTTTGTTGTGTTCCTGGTGGAAAGGATAGTTATACTAGGCAGCCTAAAGTGTCCGGAAGAGCAAGAAAAATGGGTACGAGTTATAAATCAAGAGAATTCTATTGAAAATATCTTTAATAAATTTAAAAATAATATTCTCCCATGATAGTATTAATGAAAACTGGACAATTATGTTTATTTTATTCATATTGTGGAATCTCCATTCCAAGTGTTGTTGGTGCAGCTTTGATAGATTCAAACACGTAAGATAAACATGTCAGTAGGTATTATGATCTAGGGAAAAATAAAGAATATGTGTATTAAAGATCATGAAAAAGATTATTATTTTGAGTTCAAATTTTAAAAAAGATTTTTCTAAAGACAAGACTGATACAGTTTAAAAGAAGAATGTGTTTTTGTTTGATAATATATAATGTATGTCAAGCATAACATATATTTGTTCAGTAATTTTTAATGAATAGTGTTGATTATTTATAATACCAAATAAATATCAAATATTTTAAGTGATGGCTGAATACAATGTGAATAAAATAACAATAAAATTGGTATATTTGCATAATACAAAATTAAGTTTTAAGTATAAAGGTGTTACTAAAAATACTAAGAAATTCATATTTCTTTGTTTTAATTGGTCTAATGTTATTTACATTTTACGTAAGAATTATACCGTATCATCGAAAAAAATCGGCGTCTAGTTGGCTTGGAAATGAACATTGATGACATTCCCTAAATAACTGTACACATAAAATAATTAACTAGAATTTTACAATCTTGGAAAATTTGATATTCTTGAACCTTGTTTCTAAATATTCTAAATTTTTTGATTTTCTTGGGATTTAGGTTCGGGAAAAACGCTGATTAAGTTTTCATTTGGTTTTTCATTATTTTTATTTGGTTTAAAAAAAACGTTTCGGCTAACATTATAGCCTTCATCAGTGTTGTGTCATATGAAAAAAATAGTGTCGAATATAATCCAAAAAATTAGATATAAAATATTCACACCACACACATAATGTTTACTGCGTACTCCATAGTCAATGTAGATAATTTTAGTGTTAAGAATAATAATTTTAAAAAATATGTGGTCATCTTTTGATAAGTTTATATTAGTTTATTAATTGCAGTAAACTTTATGAGGTGTGAATTATATGTAATTTTTTGGATTATATTCGACACTATTTTTCTCATATGACACAACACTGATGAAGGCTATAGTTAGCCGAAACATTTTTTTAAACCAAATAAAAATAATGAAAACTTAAATCAGTGTTTTTCCTGAACCTAAAAATCCCAAGAAAATCAAAAATTTTAGAATAATTTTACATATAAAATGCCAGCGATCTTCATTTCATAGCCATCGCTGACGCCTTTTTTAGATAATATTGTATTATTTGTAAATATAATTTTTCGAACATTGATACTTGCAAAATATACATATATAAATTTTGTGAATGCAAATAATAGTACATCACTATTAGTAGATATTGAATGTTTTTTGTTAAATTAGATCGATTTTCAAACCCCAAAATTTAAAATATATTTACATTTTACCCATTATCTTATGTACCTATACATTATTTGTACATTGTAAAACATTTGCTGCATTTGTACGGTTCATAGTTTATTTGCCAAAGTATTTATTACTATAAATAGGTATGTATGTTGTAGTTATTAACTGTATATTATGTATATTTCATGTAAACTATATCATTTTTAAAATAGAAATAAAAAATCTGAGGAATAATTATGTTTTCCATGTATTCTACAACATATTTATTAATCCGTTATATCTAACTAGCGTGACGTCATAAACCTCGCCCGCAGGCTGATCTTTTCGCCAATAGAAGGCACTGCATAAGTAGTGCGCGACTCCGAAAATTGGAACCACGAAAAACAATGCTTTTGACAAGTTTATAATCTGTATAATCTGTGGTATTATAGGCATGGTGCATTCTCGTAAATGGTGAATATCGTAAACAACTTGTACTTACAAATACACCGGTTTAAATAGTGAGAATACGAAAAATTTATTATCTAATTATTCTAAACGTGTTAGCAAGTATAATTTGTGAAAATTCTAAAAATAAAAATAAAAAAGTAAATATTTTGATATCTTCAGAAGGTCTAACTTGTATTATAATTTATTATTCCAGTTAAAAAAAACTTTTTAGATGAGTTCAACTATACGGTAACGGGCATAGTTTTAGTCTTAGATTAAGGTTTTAGTCACCGGTTTTGCTATAGTGGTGCATAATTGAGGCTATTTCGGCTATATCGAAATTTATTAAAGGTACATAATTATAATTTTAGAAGATGTTCATAAAAGGTTTTCGAATGTTCTCGTATGTACGAGTCCATTCTAGTGGGTCTCGATTCTTCTCGAACGAATGAATCATTGCGGTGTCTATGCGATGTTAAGGTCATCCGAGGGCGGGCCATATTGTGAGGTTAGGTCGAGTCCACACCGGCTCGCAACAATATGTTACTTTGTTTACTCACTTGTTTCGTCGAACTGCTTGAATCCATGTTTGCTTTTGATCAAATCGGTGTGAAAAACTATGAAGCAATAAAATGTTGTTTCGGGAGAGTTGAATATGCGGGAAAGTTGAATTATTGAATGTTATTGCACCCAACAACGCCCTAATTACGCTCTCGTTTACGCTTTAACATTTTTTCGGCAGTTTTAATAACATTTGAAATTATCGCAGCACAACGCGACGCGACGCCTAGTTCGAATTCTTTTTCATTTATTTCTTACTACCCGAAACAGCGTTACATCACACAAACCTCGTACCTGAGTGTTTTATAGTTTCAATAACTGCACTAGCAAGAAACTAAAATACTTAAATATTATGACAAAACCACGATTTCAATATTATTTTAATGCGATCAACATGACGGCGGCGGCGTGAAATAGGTAGGCATAATTTCTGATTTTTGCCGTTGAAGCGTTGCGGTAGGAATTTGTTGAAATCTGCTGAAATGCACCAAGCCTATAAGAGACTAAATATAGAGAAAATCAGATGGGTTGGATATTTCTCTACTGAAATAGAAATCCAAAATGTAAATGTTATTTTTTGTAATTGTTGACATATGAGAAGTTATTCTGTTCAGAATACCATTTGCTATCAATTAAAGTAAAAAACCAAGGATACCATTTAAAAATCAAAAGTTGTAAGCGTTCCCAGTGAAACAGGGAGCGACCGAGATAATTTAATGCGTCAATCAATCCTAACCTAACCAAATCTTGTTTTTTATCTGAAAAAACAAAAAAGTTCTAAGGGTGAGCCACTTTTGAAAAACACCCGGTATACATATGCTACCTATTTATTCTTGTTGGATTTTTTTCTTTTCGAGTCGTTTAAATTAATGTATATCTAGATAAAAATTACAATATGTCATTGCCTTAAAATTAAAAGAAAAAAATCTATTAAAATCAGACAAAGACCTTTTAACGGTAAAAAAGCATGACTTTCAGAAAGAATTCTTAGAAAAGAATAATAAGTGAATTTGAAATTGAACACCTTGAACCTCTATCGCAAAAGGTGAAAGGTCATAAGCCGTAGTGTTGTTTTTTTTATTCTTTACCATTGTATGGATGGAATCTGATTCATTATAAGCTCTACAATTTTCGTGGAAATAGGAAGTGGATATCGATCTGAAGGGCTTTTGCAAAGGGTTTCGAATGAAAAGCATAAGATCGTTAAGATCATTATCTAAAAAATAGTAAGACAGCTAAATTTAATAATAAATCACTTTTATACGCCAAAAATAGCACGAGAACATGTTGAACAGGTATTGACCTAATTGCGTGATACAAATTGTACCACCATTTTGTTCAGTTAGATGAGTAAATTACTACCTATTAGTTTTGCCAGGGGCGCATAGACGGGAAGGGTAATGGGGGTAATTACCCCTCCCAGGAAGAAATTTATAAATAAGAAAATCTGGTATAAAATAAAATTGTCAGAAAATAAATTAATAATGTCAATCAAAACAGAAATCCGGAACAATCTAAGTTTATTTCATTCCACATAGTCACAATACCTCTAGCGAATATGTAATTTAAATCTATAATTTTATTTAAATATTCCCACTACCCCTCCCAGACTCAATCTTTGGATGCGCCACTGAGTTTTGTATTACGAGTTTTTAGTTTAAATGAATTGTGTGATACTTTAAGTTGTGCTTTAAGCTTAAAAAAATTTACTAGCACACCTTGCAGTCGAACATTGTTCTTTTTAGAACCTCTTTAGTGCAATGCAAAACACTCATAGCAAACTTATTAGACTGAACGGGAAAGTGCTGCTAGGAAGGTTAGTTTTGTTGATGTAAATAATAACTGTTTATATATTTATAATTTATTTTTATTTCCTAAATCATTACTAAAAATATTTTGATTAAAAGAAAGTATATGATAGTGGGCAACGCTGTGCCCGTCAAACTTAATCACGTGACTAAAAGAAAACTATAATATTCTTTGCTAAAAGTTTAATTGGTATGAACTACAGGGTTGTTCACCACATACGACACGGAGTATTGTAGCTAAACGATTAGATTTGAAGAGGAGTAGAAAGGATTAAGGGAGTAGAGGATTTGAATAGAAGTTTTGGGTTCGTTGAAGGACTATTAGAGCTACAATTTAAAAATATTTTTACAAGATACAGAGTGTCCCAAATAAATAAAAAATATCAAAGTTGTATTTTTTTTAAATGGAACACCCTGTATATTATGACATTTATAGTTTCTACGATTAAAATAAAGGTAAATTTGATTAGGTTTATCACAGTTAAACCTTACCGTTTTTGAAATATTTAGGTTTTTGTCAAAATACAGTAGTAATTTTAATGCTTCATTTCTCTAAGCGTATTTAAGTTTTTAAAACCAAATATTGTACTAAAGTATTTCTATTTACTGAGTTTCGTGTTGCAATAATAAAAATTATACTACCTTATACAGAGTGTCTAAAAATGTATTTTAAATAATTACTAGCTTTAAACGGCAATAGCTTGTTTAATTTAAATCAAACACCCTGTATATTTTACGAGCATCAGATGCACAATTTAATTGTCTATCAAAATATATTATACCATTTTCTACCTATCTCCTCAAGTTTCCGTAGAAAATGCATTTTCTTGTAATTTAGAACTCATTTATCGATATACCCATGGACTACTGACATTTTAGATTATTTTTAAAGATGTACCAAATTTTTAAAGATTACAGATACTAATATTGTCGATATAGTTCGATTATTTCATTAAAAAATAAAAAAAACTTTTTAAATATTTGTTAAAGAGGACCTATCAATATGATTCCAATATTCAAACTATATTAATTGACTGTTTGCGTTGATTAATAGTAATTGCTCCAAATACTAAAAAACTGAATTTTGTATGTGTATTACACAGTGTGGTAAAAAGTAATACATTAAAAATGATGTTTCATTTTTTGACAAATGCTTATTTATAACAAGAGAGACGTTCATTTTCAACTTATTATTATTGATTTCTGATTCAAATCCACATTTATTTAGAATAATTTATTAACGAACACAATTAAGTATGTAATTAATTAGTATTTGGACGGAAATAATGGTGGTATATTTAATTAATGGTATACCCTTTTATAAAGATTTAAATAGTTTTCTTTTTGCATACAAATAGGCATGTACATTTTGTACATTTTTTGTATTAAAAACAATCTAAAATGTCAATATTCCATGGGTATATTGATAAATGAAGTCTAAATTATAAGAAAATTAATTTTCTACGAAAACTTGAAGGGATAGGTAAAAAGTGGTGTAATACAATTAATAGACAATTAAGTTGTACATCTGATTCTCTTAAAATATACAGGGCGTTCCATTTAAATTAAACAAGTTATTGCCGTTTAAAGCTAGAAATTATTTAAAATAAATTTTAGACACTCTGTATGAGGTAGTATTATTTTTATTATTGCAACACAATAACTGATCAATAAATAAACTTCAGTAAACATTTAGTATTAAAAACTTTGACACCTTTGAAGAAATGAAGCCTTAAAATTTTTACTGCAATTTCACAAAATTGAAAATATTTCAAAAACGGCAAGGTTTAAGTGTAATAAACCTTAATCAAATTTACCTTTATTTTAATCGTAGAAACTAAAAATGTAATAATATACACGGTATTCCATTTAAAAAATACAACTTTAATATTTTTTTATTTATTTGGGACACTCTGTATCTTGTAAAAATATTTTTAAATTGTAGCTCTAATAGTCCTTTAACGAACCCAAAACTTACGATTTGTAAAAATCTAATCGTTTAGCTACAATACTCCGTGTCGTATGTGGTGAACAACCCTGTATATGTATTATCCTTCTTTCTGGTCATTTTATAATAACTCTTCTGTATACGCAAATATCTTCCTTTATCTATGATGCAGATATAGATTTTTTGTATGGCAAAAATCCCAGAATTATTTTCAAGGAAAGAATATTTATGTTATACCAATATTCATATTTTTATTAAGACTGTTAAAAAAAATAGGTAAGAATATCTTTAAGGCGGTGATACTCTTATTCTGGCAACATATCCACTTTAATCTTGTAGAATAAATCTTAAATATGACTGAATATACTGCTAAAACATGCCTAAAAAATTCTAAACTTGATTCTAAAATTTAATTTTATCTAAATATATTTATATCGTAGGTATTAGAATGTCAAAGAAACCAGTTGCAAGAAGAAATAAATGACTTTGAAGACATGTTAAAGGAATTTAAAACAACTTATGGGAATAATGAAGACCAAGCAAACATTCTAAAAAATTTGGAGCAACAAATTGAAGAACAGAAACGTCAGTGGGATGCCCAGAAAGAAGAAATGGGTAAGGAAACTAGTAAAACCAATTGGATTAAAACCAGTAATAAAAATATTGATACTTTCAGTCAGAGAAAAGCAGAAGGCTGTTTGTGCAGCCAAATTCGCGACTCAAAAGTTACTAGATACGGTGGTGGATTTCCAGCGACAAGTAGACGCTCAAAAAAAGGTTCAGGTATTGCTTACGAAAATGTTACACGAAAAAGATGAACAACTTAAAGCTGTGACTTCAAAAGTAGGTATCTCACAAAGTATATGTGGTTACAGGAAAGTTATTTAGCTAAATAAATAAATGCCTTTATTGTCAAAAAATTTTACAATTTGTACACAAAGGTAAAGTAAACAAACAAAGTAAACAAACAAAGTAAACAAACAAAGTAAACAAACAAGGCACACAAACAAACATACAAAAGATAATACAAAACATTATACAAATAATATTGTCAGTCTTATTGTTTAAAATAAACATTTATAAATGTTTACAATGTCAAAGAATAAAAAAATAAAAATAATAGGGGAGGGTTACCTAAGATGGGACGGTCTCCGAAGAAGAGACAGTATTTTTTTTAAGACATAGTAGACTTGCGGCGACATCTATTTGTGTTAGTGGAGAGTTAATAGCACGGCCATCTTGCAGATAGAAGATGGCTTGTCTAGTCATAATTGTGTAGAGTGGACAGCCGGTTATTAATTTTTGGAAGATTTTTAAAAATATTTGTTAGCAGGACAACTTCGTATACTGGATTGACGATAAGTAGCTTATACCTTTTAAGACCGCGGGTTATAGGTGTGGTTTACTGTAATAATATTTCCAGAAAGAAACTTTTGCAACAGGTTATGTTTATAAAATAGGTTATATTTTTTTATGAATCAGTGCATATTTCTCAAGATAGGACCCTTAAGTTGAGACCCAACTTGAGAAACTGTTTATTTTTGAATAAAAGTCTGTAGTTCCAACTTTTTTTTCCATTTCAGATGCCTCCAAATCGTTATTATCGTTGAAAAACAGATCGTGTGGAAAATGGTCGATTCAGGACATGTTAGAGGCCGTCCAAAAAGTGCGAAATAACGAATTGTCAGTAGGTACGTCAAGCTGCAGATAAATATAATGTACCCAAAAGTACCTTGCAGCGAAGGGTTGCAAATAGAAATAAAATCGTAAGAGAAAATGAAAAATGCCTCGGACGATTTAGAAAAGTTTTTTCTGATGATCAAGAAAAAGATATTGTTGAATACATTTTAGAAATGGAAAAAAAAATTTCGGAATAACTTACAAAGAACTTCGCCAGTTGGCCTTCGATTTTGCTTTAGCCAACAACATACCAAATAACTTCAATAGAGAAAATAAAATGGCGTCCAAAAATGGATATACGGGTTTTTGTCTCGACACAAAAATGTTACCCTCAGAAAACCCGAAGCAACATCATACGGTAGAGCTACCGGTTTTAATAAAAATGCAGTCCAAAGTTTTTTCAAAAATCTTGAAGGTATTTATGAAAAATACAAACTTACCCCAGATCGAGTATGGAATGTCGATGAAACTGGGGTTACAACCGTTCAAAAATTACAAAAAATTCTAGCACAAAGGGGGAAGAAACAAGTAGGAGGCCTAACCAGCGCAGAGAGAGGTGTAAACGTTACAATTGTTGCTGTTATGAATGCAAGTGGTAATTTTTTGGCACCTGCATTTATATTTCCTAGAAAGAGGATAAAACCGGAATTAATGGATAATGCGCCCAGTCCAGCCTTTCCCCAAGATAAAGGTTGGATGGATCGAGATGTGTTTTTACACTATATGCACTACTTTGTTGAACAAACAAGGCCGTCAAAAGAAAGACCAATTCTTATTATTTTAGACGGCCATAGTTCTCATACAAAAAGTTTGAATGTTATAGATTTTTGTCGTGCTAATGGAGTTATTCTGTTGTGCCTACCGCCCCACTGCATACACAAAATTCAATCGTTGGATGTATCCTATTTCAAATCTTTTATGACTTATTACGATACGTACCTTTCCAGATGGTTAAAAAATCATTGTGGTCGCACTTTCGGGCTCTATCAAATTGCAGGGACTGTTTCAGAAGCCTTTGTAAAATCAGCAAATGTTCAAACTGCTGTGAATGGGTTCAGAAGAACAGGTATCTGGCCGTTCAATGCCGATATATTCGAAGACTGGGAATTTGCCGCTGCAGGAACAACTAACACTGTAGTAGATCCATATCAAAACCCCTCTACCTCCAGAAAAGACACTATTTCACAATCTTCGGAAAATGGTCAAAACAACGAGAGTAGCTCAGAAGATGAACTTCCTCTAGCAGCCTTGGTAGCTTCGCGGAAAAAGGAAATCCTTCCAGATAACAACTCTTCTCAGTCTAAAGTAAAAATTATTGACATCAGTCCTTTACCGATAGTTAAAGACAAACGAAAAAAACAAACAGCTAGGAGATCATTGAAGTCTACTATTTTAACAGAGTCTCCATACAAAAACCAACTGGAGGCCCAGCAGACGCAAAAGTTTGTTGGCTATGGAATATAAGTTTCGTTCATTTACAAAAACTTGTTTTATTTTGATTAGCTATTAAGATATTATTTTTTTTAAATCGTCCCATCTTAGGTTACTCTCCCCTATTCAAAAATATTTAGTTAGTTTATAGTAAATATCAATGACCTCTAAATAAATTTATTTCGGTGTCACTGGTAAATATAGGAATAGCAAACATTAGACCAGTGTTTACAAGATCAAATTCGATTATCAAAATATAATTCATTTACGGCGTAGAAAGCCTTGTCAAGTAAATAAGAGTTCAATGCAATGCTAAAACCTATTATAACATGAATTGTCTTGTTACATAAAATAATTACGAGCTTATATCCACGGCATATAAATCACACGGCAGGCTAACTCTGCCCAGATCCCATTGTTTAAAACTTCTATAAAAGTTGACCTTGAAATCACCATTATGGGTGCCGAGTCAGGGCCGGATTAAAACGTATTAAAAATTTCCCAGAAAATAAACTATTGATTAGACAGGGTCGTATTAAAAAAATACGGCAGACCTCTGTTCTTTTCTCTCTGAATTGTCATGAGCTATCCATAAAAATTAAAAATAGATACGAATAATCAGAAAAACAGTAATTTAGAAGTGAATCTTGTTTGTCATTTTGCAAGATACCTAATAATACAAATTACTTTGAATGCCGTAGGCAATGATTGAGTATTAAAACTAAAAGAATTTCGGACTTCCATTGTACTACTAAACTACAAAAATCAAATATATCATACAATAAACAAAAATAAAAAAACAAAATATATCACTCAAGAAAAGAATGAAATAAATTAAGCCGCACGCTACTGACTCAAAGCTGCCGTAACTGTATGTTGTCGATGACAAATACTACGACTGACTACGACACTGGTTAATTTCTGTTGCTGGCACCCATAATGGCGGCGTGCGCAAGGATATGCGCGTAGCGTTCCCGCCAATGCGAGTTTGCCTGCCGTGTGATTTATATGCCGTGCTTATATTATGCCTTAATTTGTTTTAATTTACCCAACGTTTCCGTGAGATGTGTCATTGACCGTAATCAAGTGTGAACTAACCTAAACTCTAAAGCTTCATTCAGAACCTCGAAATTAGTGGAATAAATTCGTGGTTTCGATTAGACTTTATACTTAAAAGCTTACTATCATTCACAATGTCTCAGAGTTATTGTTTGAGTCAAATATTTCCGAGTTATTGACTTTTGAACATATCACTTAAACAATTCGATTAAATTAATTTCGATATGTTCAGTTTCATTTAATGATGCCATGTGCAATACTATGGTTTCAGGGGAGTGCCGCTCGAATGGCTCAAGTCATATCTTGGTAACAGAAGGCAGCTTGTGAGGATTGATACGTCTATGTCTTCTTGTAAGCCTATAGAATGTGGTGTCCCTCAGGGTTCAGTACTTGACCCTATTTTGTTTCTGGTGTTTATCAACGGCATTGCAAATCTAGACATTAGCGGTAAAATCTGCCTCTTTGCGGACGATACTAGTTTCACTTGGAGCGGCCCAGATGTTACGGCACTATATAGTACTATATCCAGTGACTTACGCACCATTAAATCTTGGTGCGATTCTAATCTCCTATGCCTCAACCTATCAAAAACTAAAGTTTTGTCATATAAAAGAATATTATACTATACAACCTTTTGTACTTAATAAAACTCTGTGAAGTTCTTAGACTTGTTGTAGACAACTCGTTAAAATGGGACTTTCACATCGAAGCTCTATCAAAGAAACTAAGCGCTGCCTGTTTTGCGCTAAGATCGGTTTCTAAGGAACTTAACTTCTCAACCTCTAGAATAGCCCTTTATTATGCCCTTTTTGAGTCACATCTTCGTTATGCCCTTCCATTCTGGGGTACTTGCGCAACAAAATTTGATCGTGTTTTCAGACTTCAAAAGAGAGCAGTTCGATATTTATTGGGACTGAACAGTAGAACTCACTGCCAGAATTTCTTTAAAAATTTGAAAATACTGACTCTTCCTTCTTTATTCATTTTTGAATCCGTTTGCTTAATCCGCAAGCACATATCTGCTATTCCCGAAAGGCCATCTCATAACTCTCCACTTATTAATGCAGGGCACGATCTTTATCTGCCAACCCCGAGCTCAGAACTAGTTAAAGGTTCAATACTGTACAATGCCAAAAAAATGTACAATCATCTGCCTTTGAATATCAAGTCGCTTTCATTCTTTCCCGCATTTCGCAAAGCTCTAAAATTATACTTACTGGAGAGAGCCCTATATGCGGTAAACGACTTTTTTGTTGATGTTTAATTATGAACAATTTTGAATTTTAAAATTTCACACACTGGTCAAAGGTCAAGTATTTAATATTTTATAATTCTAAAATCATATCTATTTACTGTGTACTGTTCTAAAATTGTCCATGTATATTCTTTTTGTAATTTTAAATACTTAAATTTTTTTGAATTGTATTATTTGTATTGTGTATTTTTTTGTGATTTTGTTGTTTGTGAGTGCTTTGTCGATGAAGCTGTTTTGGCTTTTTGTACAATAAAGCGTTGTTTGTTTGTTGTTTTATTCATTTGTGATGCCGAAACTGTGATATGTAATGGATTTTTAAATGCCTATTAGCTTCTAGTAAATGTAAGCATACAGAATCTGTCATAAAGTTGTGGCACATCAAACTTAATTTTTTTAAATGAAACCCCCTGTATATTAT